TGATCAGTGTAAGAGTAGATATGAGAGCTGGACTCCACATCATAAAAGGAGCCCAGACCCTCCTCATAATCCACAAACACACCGACCCGCTGCGGCTTTACCCTCAGAGACAGAGAGACAGAGGGACCAGCAAAGGCTTTATATTCATTGCCATTCCTCAGAATAACAATCCAGTATCCATCACTGGAACTGCATGCAATCTTTCCCTTCCTGTTAATAGATTGTCTGACCACTCCTAAATCCCAGTCACTCTTTCCCTTCACCTGCACCTCAAAATAAAACCTCCCTGAGGAGAATCCCTCCTTTCCCAGGACACAGACACATGAATCAAATCTTTCTGGATTGTCTGGGAGGTCCTGACTAACCTCTCCAAATCTCACTTGTTTTCTATAATCAGACAGGATGAGGTTTGGATGAGCTGTATCAGGATCCAGAGTCACATCCACTAAGAAAACAGAGAACATCAATCACAGATTTACAATGTTTTTAATATTTAATAGTTTTAATCAGATTGTAGTGCAGAAATGAAGCTGTGAGTATCTGAATGTAAATGAGTGAAGTGCTGACAGCTCACTGTACCTGCATATTGCTGCATCCTCTTCAGCTCTGTAGAGAGACATGACAATAAAACATCAAAAGATCTTTGAGACTCATTATTCATTACTTGAATTAAAAAATAATAAACATATGTATCTGTATGGTGTATTTGATATTGCCGTACCAGTTTTTGTGAATTTCTCATCTAGAGTGTACTGCAGTTGAGTCAGAGCTCTCCAGACTCACACAAGTCTTCATACTGATCTCAGGCCAGTTCCTGGTGTTTGTAGGGCTGCACAGGGATGAGTACATCTACAGCAGGAGAGAGGAAAAATCCTTCAGCATGAGGAGTGTCATATACTGCATTATCATTGATCAGAGAGATGTCGAATGACCTTTAGGAAGTGGAGGTGATCTTCAGTGTGTGAGAGCTGCTCCAGCTCAGTGTTTCTCATCTTTAGCTCAGTGATCTCCTGCTCCAGCTCTTCAATGAGCTCTTCCTCCTTTTTCTCTGCTGCTTTATGCTGCTCCTCCATCATCTCCAGCAGTTCAGTCTGACATCTCTCAATGGAGTGGATGAGATCAGTGAAGAACTCAACACGGGCTGCTTTTTCCATCTCTGTGTTTCTCTGCTCAACCAGTCAGTCAACAAATGATTAGTGGTGTTTGATAAGACAAGAATTAGAGTTACTATTGCTCATAATTTAGTGTTATTAGGGTTTTATTTTTAATTCCTTTAACTGAAGTGTTTTTGCTTTTACACAGCAATTCAATGAACAAGATATTAATACTGAATAAATTACATTTTAAATAAATTGTTGCCATTTACTTTGTATTTGCTCTGACCAGGGAAAAGGTTTGAAATAAAGCCACAACACACTAACTCTGGCCCTTGAGGTCCATTTTCCTGCAGAGTTTAGCTCCAACCTTGATCAAACTCACCTGCCAATAACTTTCAAGTCATCCTGAAGACATTAATTAGCTTGTTCAGGTGTGTTTGATTAGTGTTGGAGCTAAACTCTGCAGGAAAGTAGACCTCTTGTTCCAGAGTTGAGAACACCAGGGCTGTGTCCGAAATCGCCCCCTTATACCCTCATTCACTATTCCCTAAGCAGCTCCAGTAGTAAGATTAAAGGATTTATCTTGAACTCTGTCACGGAAATTATGTATAAACCCTAATCAAACAATTGAATAATCAATTTACAATGAATTTATACCCGTGTTGTACATTATGCTGTACGCCATGGATGAGCGCTTTGTAAAAATTAACGGATTGATTATTCAGCTGCGGGCGCCATCTTCTGGCGAGATGCGGGAATTCATTCGGAATGAGTGCACTCGAGAACGTCCACTATGGTTTCGGACACCACTGAAAATGGCTGTTCCCTCAAATAGTGCCCTATAGGGGGCGATTTCGGACACAGCCCAGCACTAGAGATTCTTTCCTGAATGAATCAGTGTTTTTAAACGAATCGAGTGAATGAATCGAAATCAGCGACTCACTAAAGAGTCACTTGGCGCCACCTATTGGTATAACGATGTAACCTGCAGAAAGAGCCACTGTAACTCTCTGTGGACTCTTGGAGGACCTGAACAAAATTTTGTATAAGAAATACTATTATAGGTTTAATTCAATTATTTTGAACTTACCTTTCTAACTTTTGCTGAGCGTTTAATGTCTTGAATCTTCTTGATTCTCTCCTGGATTATCTGCTGCATGTCTTTCTGTGTCTTCATCAGTTGAGTCTACAGACAGAAACATTTATAACAGAGATTTACTGTCTTCTGAGAAAACAATATATTTTCATAATGAACCCTCTTTTTACAAGATTAAAGAAAATTTGATTTGTCATTATATTTTGCAGTTTAAAAGTAGTTTATTAGTAACTTCTACCTTCTTCTCTTCACTCTCCTCTTCTAGAGGAACAGTGTTGTGGTTCTTGTGGTCTGTCAGAGCACACATCGGACACACACATGTCTGATCATCTCTACAGAACAGCTCCAGAGGTCTCTCATGTGTCTGGCATATATAGTCCTCCAGATTACTCACAGGCTCCATCAGTTTGTGTCTCTTTAAACCTGCCACTCTCAAATGACGCTCCAGATGAGTTTCACAGTAAGAGCTCTGACACACCACACATGACTTTAGGGCTTTCAGCTTTCTTTCCTCACAGATGTCACACAGAACTTCAGGTTTTTTCTCAGGTGTTTTCTTCTTATAGTGATCTACAACCTCTCGGAGTGTGGTATTAATCTTGAGATCAGGTCTTTGGTTGAATGCTTCTTTACAGTAAGGACAGCTGCTAGTCTGGCTGTTGTACCAGCACTTATTCAGACAGGTCTTGCAGAAGTTGTGTCCACATGGAGTGCTGACTGGATCAGTGAACACATCCAGACATATAGAGCACTGAAGCTCTTCAGTCAGTAGACCACTAGAGGATGACATGTCTGGAAAGAGAAATGATGACGATAAATGATGACTGAGTTTATGTTTGCATGATATTAAAAACCATATGATCTAAATGTTTCTGCTCAAATGCTTGAAATGTGATATAAAGACAAATTTGTACTGTCCCTTTTTACAAAGCAAATAAAATAATGAGCAGGTTTTAAATAATAATTTACATAAAAAGTAATTCATGTGCTTTTTAAAAAAAATTGGCTTACATGGAGGTTCAGTTACAATTTGTCTACAGGTTTCTCTTATTTTTGGTGATGTTAGTGATGATTCTGTCATTGCTCTTCCCTTCTTCAAAGCCTTTTTCACAGTACAAATTATGATAAATGGATTTAAAAGAATCAACTAGCAAAGCACATTTGCTTAATATTTTTGGCCACTCAGATTTAAATGAAATATTTCCTAACAGAAAGTGAAGTTAAAGTGATCTTTTTTAAACTTCAACTTAGAATCAAATCAGTTTATGTGAATTTAATCAATAGGTATCCATATTATTATTATTTTATCTCTATTTTGTGGTGAAACAATTTCCTGAGAAACATTACATTTCCTGGGACTCATTACATTTACTAATCAATCTGAACTGCTCTTTAGATTAAAAGAAATTATTTTCTTTCCCCACAGACATCACTAAAAAACGTCCACAAAGCAAACACACTGAGATACAGAAGCTGTATAACCAAGTATAATTTTAGTCTTGTCTTGCTACATTTTTATGTAGATTTTCACCAGCAGTATAGTAGGTTTGTGTTCAGTATTTATGCTGTGTGTAGGCCTGTCGCAATAATCAATATATCGACTTATCGTACAATATATGTACATGACCTCAATAATTTTTGGTGATGCAATATATTGCTCATTATATTTACATCAAAATTAATGTCACCATGTTTTTTGCATTCCACTTGCAACTGTGTCTTTTGCAGCTTCTCGTACATAATGTGGGGTAGTCATGAGGTGCTAGTTAAAATTTAAAAACTGCTTCTACAAAAAAAAGTTTCATCTGCAGATATGGCCTTGTTTAGGGATCTGTGCCTTAGTTTGTGCATACGGACATCTGACTGCTAAATAGGGATTGTGTTTTTCACCAATACAGTGCACCCTTTATTTACAGAGAAAAGAAGGTCAGGGAAAAATCTGTAGATGGAAAAATCTCCAGACAAAATCTTTGTGCATTTTTCTTTTTTTCTACTTGTTACTTTGCACTTTTTGTTAGAAAATGTTTATTTACTATTTATTCAAGTTTTTTTTATATACTTAATTTACATTAATTAAAAGTTCGTTGTCATTTGAAAGTGTCTAGGCCTAATTGTATTATTATGCTGTTATATTATGATTATATATTCAGTGGCATAAAATGGTCTTAAAATGAAAATAATATCGCTTATCGCAATGATTTCTGGGGCAATAAAACAAAAAGTTATCGCCACAGGACTAAATTAACTTAGTTGTGTGAAAAAGTAAAAATGACAGAAACACCAAACATGCCTTGCAACCAATTAAACAACAAATTAATACAATTCTGATGCCATTTTAATATAGAAAACAACCAAAGTAGTTGATCAACTTAAACCTGGGAATTCTGTTCAACCTCTTCCAGTTTAACAAACCTTAAACTTGGCCACTTCCATTAGAAACTGTTCAAGAAAATCTCTCTTATATTTCTATCACTTACCTGTGAGTATGTGTTCACAAGGGTCTTTGAACAGCTCAATAAATATTCTGTTGTTTAAAGAGCTTGATAGTTTAAGGCGTCCGATTTTGTTGTTCATCAAGTTAGTTTTACGTTTTCTGAAAGCTCTCCCTCAACAAGTATAACGTTAGACCATAATATCTGTGATTAGCTCCAGTACAAAGGCTGCCCATAAAAGAACAAAAACACCCTGCTAAATTATAAAATAATCGGTAAATGTCAATTAATATGGGCGCCTAACAGAATTTCCTCGGAAGCAACTTTGATTAAACTTTCGCAGCTCAGTTTATGGTTTGAGACTTTTATTTTGAAATCACAGCGCGGAAGTAATCCTGGAAGAAAACGTCCTCGCGGTTCCCCCACGTGTCTGTGCGCCACGCTCTCATGGCTGCGGTGATGCAGACAAACATGGGAGAGCTCGAGGACAGCACCGTGAGACCCAAAGTCACCGATGCTAAAGGCATTCTCAAACAGAACCGACAGTTCCTGGATTACTTCTGGGACATCGCGAAACCCGAGCGAGAAGTCCGCCTCAAAGCGATTGAGGACTTGATCGAACGCTTGAAGCAGAGCGAGAAGGTATGGAGAGTCAGCTCTGATCATTTTAATATCGGCTTTTCACTGTTGATCAATATTCTTGGCCGGAGTTGGTTGTTATAGTTATTAATGCTGTTTTATCACCCGATGTAATAAGATGTCATTATCTGAACAGTGCTCCATTCGGCTTTGGTTGTTGATGCAAACACGTGGGTTGAATGGAGCTGTTGTACTGTAACGTTATATGAGTTCTTCAGATATGGAAACTTATCTAATATATATATATATTAATAAATAGCTCTAATCTATTCTATCATGTTATATGAGTTCTTCAGATATGGAAACTTTTCTGTCCACAGGATGAGAGAAAAAAAGTTCGAATTTTAAGTTTGAATAACTTTTAATTATGTTTTACTAATATATATATTAATAAATAGCTCTAATCTATTCTATCATGTATTTCCCTATGAACTGTATTGAATAGTAGAAATCACATTTTCAGTTAATTTGCCATTACCAAAGAGAGACCACCATAGCAACTGATTTCCAAAGCATGCCGTTAATTGAAGAATCAAGCATGAAAGATGTGACCTTGTATGATAGTCAGTGGATTCACATTCGTGTCAGAAATGTATGTTTGCTTACTTTATGTTTATGTTTTTCATCTAGCCGGATGAGTTGAAGTATTCACTGAAGAGACTAGTGGACGGTCTTTCTCACACGAGAGAAGACGCTCGGTCAGGATACAGCGTTGCGCTCGCTCAGGTATTTTTAACCAGACAAGCTGTATCTTCACATCTTTTTGTAGCAGTTATTAGATATGCGTTTGATTACTATTTGTTTCTGTATGAAGCTGCTGAGTGTATTTGAGGAGATCTCACTGAAATCCACACTAGACAGCGTCAAAGAAAAGCACAACCTCCAGACAGCCAAAAAGGTGAGGATTTCACATGGAACCCTGATGTGGCCTTAAAGGGGTCATATGATGCTTTTTTAAAGATCATTTTGAGACTTTAGTCTTTGCAACTTCAGGGATCTTATCTATTCACGAACAGCTTGTAACACTCCAAAGAGAAAGGAAAACTTGAAATCGCATCATATGACCCCTTTAATACGTTATTATCCTAATCATCGTTCTGTCATAATCATGATGCTCATAGGTTTTTCATGTGATGCTTCAATTCTTTTGACAGAAATTCATCAGAAATGCAGCGTTTGGGAATTTCTTTGGTGTGCTCGCCCTGTCTCAGTCCACACGTCTGCATAAGGTAAGAGAATCAGATTCATGAGTGTTGCGTTGTTGCTTTTATGTGGGCAAAAATAGCTGGAAATAGTTTTTGGAAGCACTAATTATCTTGGATATTATTTGGGATTTAGACAAACTCTGATTTGTGCTGATGATCTTTTGCGGCATGTTGTTTCTCAGGAGCCGCAGGTCATGTTGGAGTGTGTGCAGCTCCTGCAGAGTCTGTCCCGGTACAGAGAACACCTGAGAGACCTGCCCAGAAAAACCATGGTCGACATCCTGTCAGAGGTGATTACTAATGTGTTATTCCTGTTTTAATTTTGTGGTATAGACATTGAAAGAGGTGTCTGAAGAGGTGCTCAAGTAGCATTACAAATAATATGTATAACAATAACATGTATATATTAGTGCTGTCAAACGATTAATCGCATCCAAAATAAGTTTTTGTTTACATAATATATGTGTGTGTGTACTGTGTATATTTATTACGTATATATAAATACACACACATGCAGATATATATTTAAGAATATATTATGAATATGAAAAAATATGTTATGTTTATATATTAAATATATTTATATATTATATAATTTATATGAATATAAATATATACATGTAAATATTTTCAAAATATATGCTGTGTGTGTGTGTGTCATTATATATACGTAATAAATATACACAGTACACACACACAGCCTATATTATGTAACCAAAAACTTTTATTTTGGATGTGATTTGGTGCTATTTTGGATTAATCGCGATTAATCGTTTGACAGCACTAATTTGTATATTAAATATATTTATATATAATATTAATTATATAAATATATACATGTAAATATTTTCTAAATATATGCTGTACAAGTGTGTATTTATATGTACATAATAAATATACACAGTACACACTGTGTTTATATATATAAAAAAATATATATTTCGGATGCGATTAATCGTTTGACAGCACTAGTATATATTGATTAATGTAGTAGTAATCATAATAACTACTATTATATTTATTATATTACATGAATGAATGTACACTACCAGTAAAAAGTTTGGAATAATTAACATTTTTTTATGTTTTTGTGAGAAGTCTCTTATGCTCACCATTTACTTGACCTTAAATGAGGTAAAAACAGTAATATTGTGACATATTATTACAATTTAAAATAGCTGTTTTCTATTTGAATATATTCAGTGTCAGTCCTCAGTGTCACATGATCTTTCAGATATTATTCTATTTTCTTTTCAATTTCATTTTTTTATGAATGGATCAACTTATTGTCAATGTCGAGCATTTTTTCCCAGGATCCTTTGAATGGGTAGTGTATTGTGGTTTCCATAAAATATTAAGCAGCACAACTATTTTCAACACTGTAAAATAAGATTGTATAACATTATATAATAATAATAAGAAGAAATGTTTCTTGAGCAGTAAATCAGCATGATTTCTGAAGGATCGTGTGACACGGATTACTAGAGTTTGGGATTTAGATAAACTCTACTTTGTGTTGATGATCTTTTACCGTCTCTCGTTTCTATAATGTTTCATTCATGTGTTTTGTTGTATAGACATCGAAGGAGGTGTTTGAAGAGGTGCTCCTGAGCGCCCTGCAGTCTGACCTGACCTCTGCCCTCAACACTCCCGAGCAGCTCGAGCTCCTCCTGGTGGCCATGCAGAAGTTCCCCTCTGTGCTCAAACCCAAAAAACTCAAGAAACTATTAGGAACCACAGCAGTCATTACTAAAGAGAACATGCCAAAGTGAGTGTGCCTGACTCCCTTTTCTGCTTTCTTACTCTGTATGTTTTGTCTTTGTTTTCAGACATTCTTATATATGCTAAAATAGTTGTTTAATTATGAAATTGTATGCATGTATCTACTTCAATTTATTTTAATTACTTATTTTATGTCAAATTTATTGTAAATTTGAAAATGATTTATAAATTATGTATGGAAATATGTAAATAAAATGTATTAATTCATAATATGAAATCTATGTAATTATTAATTTTATAATGATAATGTAATAAATGTTTATTTTCTTATCATGTTGATTTTATTTGAAAAAATACTAAATGTTGTTTTAGACAACATTCTCATGTTAGTATGATTACTTTTTTCAGTTGCATATTTATTGTTGACTTCATTTGAAAGTGTAGTTTTACACGTGGCAGGTTAAAAACATGCTCATATTTTGAGTGCTTCATTGTTTTATTAACTCTTTTGATGTGTACTCCCAGGCTGGTGGAGGTTTTAAAGACGGCCGCTCGCTCTGTGAAGAAGGACAACATTCTGCCCCCAGTCACGTTTGACTTGTTACAGGCGTCTCTGCGGGAGGACAACTTCGAGATGTTCTGGAATGAAGCCATTATCAAAGGCATGCTGTCAGAGATGCCTGGTCCCACACAGTGAGTTTAACATGTGTAACCAAACCTTAACCTGCTAATTTATCTGTCTAATACTCAGCCAGATATGGGTACGCCTGGTTATTACTTCACTGCATTTGATTATTTTTTATTATTATTATTTATTCAAGGTTTTATTTATTTAGTTTTACTTTAAGTTTCAAATAGTTTATTTAAAATATATTATATTATTAAAATGTATTTCATTAATTTTTTTTAGTTACGTTTTAGTTTAATAACAATTTTTAAATATGTATTTTATAATAGAAAATATTTCGTTAAAGTGTCAAAAGCACATTATTAAATTGTTATTTAATTTGATTGAATTTCATATTTATTTTATTTTTTGTGTTGAGAAATAAATGTAAGTTAAAATGGGATCATGTGAACATTTTTACTGATTTCAATTTAAGAATAGTTTCAATACCAATTAGAATATGATGACCAAAACGCATGCTTTTTCTTTCTTTATGATCAGTTATTTAGGTTTCCGGTTATTGGGAGCATCTCTGCCGCTGCTGTCAGTCCCTGAGCTCGAGTTTGTCCTGTCCGGTGATGTGATGAGATACTACGGTCAACACATGCTGTCCGCACAGGTCTGTCTTTATGTTTGGTGATGTGTGTGTTTCACGTGATGGATGTCAATGTTGGATTCATTATTTTTTAATTTGAAAATACAAATACACAAATGCAAACACCATTTAATTCTGCAGGAAATTACAGATCACTAGAATTAAAAGTAGTGAGTAGGGCTGTGCAATATATCGAAATATCGCAAATATACATATCGCAATATGCATATCGCTACGGCTTGCAATATATGGGGCCATGAACTAAACACAAAGAGAAAATAACTCCCTGCTCTTACCTAAATAACTTTTATAGCTTAAATAAGAATCAGTGCATATTGAATTCATAGAGTAAATACTAAGCAGTGTTGTATTTTTCCTTTTTATTATTCAGTTCCTAAACTTATGTTAAAATGATTACACTAATGTTAAAATGGCATTTTTATGTAATGCTAGAGTAAAACACTATGGTTCACTTTCAGAAGTTGTTGTAGGGGTGCTTTCTTCTCACAAAAAGTGAATTGTGCTAGTTATATTAGAATCAGAATGAGCTTTATTCACCACTTAAGTGTGCACAAACACAAGGAATTTGTTGTGGTTTTACAGGAGCTCTTGATAGATACATACATACATACAAATAACCATATATATATATATATATATATATATATATATATTTATATACACAGTATATATATGACACAAGATAGTTATAGAAGTTCACAGAACTGACTCAGCAACAGCTGAGTAAAACTGTTTCATCTGAGCATGTGGCACTTTAAGCATTATCGTACCGCATATCGACTATCGCATTATTTAATGAGTTATCGCATATCGCATTTTTCTTCAAATATCACACAGCCCTAGTAGTGAGATAAATTACATTGGTGTTGCATACTCTTTAACATTTATACATGTACATATAGTACTAGTATTGCATTCTGAATGTAGCCTGTGCCATAATAATGTATGTTTATTGTGCGTGTCTCCTGTCAGCTGGCATACCGATTCAAGTTTGCTCCAGAAATGGAGAAGTACGTGAGTGAGTTCATGCAGGGCTGCCCTGATGCTGACAAACAGCTCGTCGTGGCGCTCGGCTTCACTCAGCTCACTAACCAGGGCTACCCCGTGGTCCCGTCCTCCTGGAAGGTTCTGGAGCACATGGATCTGTGTGCGCTGCAGCAGTATGTGGAGTGGCTGATGAAGGCCTTCTGCAAGCCCCAGCTGGAGAAATGCCTGGACTTCAGCACCCGCAGACAGAAAGGAAACCAGGAGTCTGAAGTAGAGTGAGTTCACACCGGATTTTCCAAGAATTGACTGAAAATCATTAAGAATAGAGGTTTAAAAAAATTAAGTATTCAACTTTTTGCTGGAGTAAAACCATATGATGGTGCAGTAATGATAATAACAACAATTTGTCTATAAAAATGTATATTACTATTATATAAAAATAACAATTGTTGCTATTATTAATTATTATATACAGTGCACTAATAATGGTAATAATAATATTTATATATTAATATATACATTAATATTAACTATTAGTAGTAGCATTCATAATAATTATAAGAATAATAATATATACATTAGTGCTGTCAAACGATTAATCGCGATTAATCAAAATACAAGTTTTTGTTTACATAATATGTGTGTGTGTACTGTATATTTATTACGTATATATAAAGACACACACAGCATATATTTTGAAAATATTTACATGTATTTACGTCTATATATTCATATTCATATAAATTCTATCATATATAAATATATTTAATATATAAACGTAGCATATTTTTCTTAAATATATACATGCATGTGTTTGTATTTATATATACATAATAAATATACACAGTACACACATATATTATGTAAACAAAAACTTTTACTTTGGATGCGATTAATCGTTTGACAGCACTAATATACATATATAATTTTATATATAAATCTACAATACAAGCCTATTAGATATACAATAATGCAACTATATATATATATATATATATAATTGTATTATTGTTCTATTATATAAATACAAAAATGATTAATGTTATACACAATAAATACAATAATAATATTTCTATATTCATTTATACATTATAATTATTTTTAGTAATAGTTGTTGTAGTAGTAGTAGTAGTAGTAACAATATATAAATGAATGTTATTAAGAATTATTTTATATGAAACAATAAATACAATAATAATTTAGCATTTACATAAAATCTATTTTTTTATATAAGTTTTCATTAAATTATATGATGAGATTAACAAGATTAATTTGTAATTCAGATCATTTGTAATTTGTTTAGTAATTAATAATTTATACCTATTATATATATAATAATGCAACTATATATATATATATATATATAATTGTATTATTGTTCTATTATATAAATACAAAAATGATTAATGTTATACACAATAAATACAATAATAATATTTCTATATTCATTTATACATTATAATTATTTTTAGTAATAGTTGTTGTAGTAGTAGTAGTAGTAGTAACAATATATAAATGAATGTTATTAAGAATTATTTTATATGAAACAATAAATACAATAATAATTTAGCATTTACATAAAATCTATTTTTTTATATAAGTTTTCATTAAATTATATGATGAGATTAACAAGATTAATTTGTAATTCAGATCATTTGTAATTTGTTTAGTAATTAATAATTTATACAAATTACAAATGTGATTACAGATTACAGTGTTAATGTGCCATCTGCAGCCATTTTCCCTCTCATGCCAATTTCATATTTATTCTGATTTATTTCTTGCTGTAGGAGTGACAGCTGTGTTGCCAGGTTTCGTAAATGGATCGTTCAACGCCTCTCTTTCATTGTGGAAAACCATCAGATTAAGAAAGAGGAGGGTCTTGTCATGAAAATGGCTAGGTAACTCATCTTTAGATCTCATTAAGGGTCACTACGTGACTCCTGTGGCAACTCCCCTGATATGAATCGATGGTATTGTGATGCTTTATCCTTCTTCTGTAGGTTTATTTTCTTCCACGCCTTCTTTGATGTGAAGAAACCCACTCCAGAAATCCCTGAGACGGTGCAGGCTCTCTCAGTGCCCATAGATCAACAAACACGAGCCACTATCTCTTCAGCCTTCTACGGGTCAATTAAACTTATCAGTCAAATTTTGTAAATTAAATGAAAAATGTAATCTGACATAAATGATTTGAATTAATTTGAATGAAACAAGTTAAGTTATTAAATGAAAAGTCATTAATAATAAATATAATTAAATGAAGTATATACTTCATCTCCTCCAGTCTTCTGCAGGGCTTGAACTCGATGGCTGTGCTAGGAGATTCTCCTGAGGCGGAGAGGCTGAACTCCAGGAGGATTCTGGGTGTGAAAGCTGATGGAAGCATGTGGATCTACTGTGTGGTCCAGTACGCCACCACGCTGCTCAACCAGAGCAAACACGTCCAGAGCGTTCAGACCCTGAGTCCAGAGCAGAGGCAGGGCTGGGACAGGTGACGCATCCTGCAAAACACTACTGTTTTCTACATTATGACCTTTTAAATGTAAATAAGAAAGGTGAGGGTAGACGGACTGCAGCTCAAATGCTCTTTTAGGTGATTTTGTGTTTTGTGTGTTTAGTATGCTGGAATCAGTGGAGGCCTTGAGGAAAAAAGCAAAGAAGTCTTCTTCACCTGAACACACGGCATTTCAGCACCTCTTCCTTCTCGTTGGGATTCAGATGTTCAGGGTTTGATTCTTCTAGTGATTTTTTATATTTTTGTTTTTCAAAAAGCAGAAATAATCAAATGAATGACCAGATCTTCGTAATGATTATCAGTTAAGCATTCCTGAAGCTCTTAAAGTAGAGCAGGTGCTAGAAACACCAGGGTTATCATGGGTTCGATTCCCAGGGAATGCATGAACCAATAAAATGTGTACTTTGATTGCAATGCAAGTTGCTTTGGATAAAAGCATGATCTACCAAATGCATGAAAAAAAAATAGAATAAACTACTTGTTGTTAACATTATAAATTATTATTAATAATTTATTTTAAAATAAAATAAATTGGTGAGGTCCAGCTTGAATAATTTTTGCAGCCACTGTATTATTTGTTTGTGTATGTAATATCTTTTTTAGTTGTGCATCATGGGGAGGATTTTGTTTTAATGCCTGTTCATTTTGCTGTTTGAAAATGGTTGTTGGAAATAAAGTACAAGAAAAAATTATGTGCTTTACATTCCTATTCCAAATAAAATATGATTGATGAAATAATTTCAGAAAGTGCTGAAGACTTTTATTTTGTGATCTTAACATAAATGTTGTTTTTCTGTCCTCGCTCCAGGCTCCAGATGAAAGTTTGGAGTTGTTGAATGATTTGCGGACCTGTGTGGAGAAAGCTCAGGCTAAGAAATCTAAAAAGAAGAAAGCGAGTAAGTTGGAGCAGTTCAGTGCAGTTAATGGATTTAATGTTTTTTTGATTTGTAGTCTGTTATTCCTGCTAGATGATGCACTAATGGTGTGTGTTTGTGTTTGTGTGTGCGCGTGTGTGTGCGCGTGTGTGTGTTTGTGTGTGCGCGTGTGTATGCGCGTGTGTATGCGCGTGTGTGTGTGCGCGTGTGTGTGCGTGTGTGCATGTGTGTTTGTGTGTGTGTGACACAGATGGCGAGAGCTGTAATGAGGAGCCGCACTGGGTGGAGGTGGTTGTTGAGATCCTGCTGTCGCTCCTGTCTCAGCCCAGTCGTCTCATTCGCAGTGTGTGTAAAGCTGTGTTTAGCCGTATCTGTCCTCACCTCACCCAAGAAGCGCTCAGCTCCATCCTGAACGTAAGAGACTGCTGACTAATTAGCAGTGCTATTTTAGTATTATTTACATACTATTACGATAATATTTTGAATTGGCTTATACTTATATTTTTAGGTTTTATTAAAAATGTTTTGTTTGTTTTAGTGAATGTGCATTTTAATAAATTTTTGTTTAGCATTCATTTATATTTATTTGTTTTAGTTCTTTAACTTAAACTTAGTTCAGTCTAATATACAGTATGTGTATATATATATATATATATATATATATATTATTTTAGCTTTAAGAGATGGGTTTTAAAACAGCAGCTTTATTGCCTTACAGCGCTTGTTTTCATAACTGTACACCGTTTAATTTTACCCACAGCACATTTAGCTTCCGTGATGTGACGTATTTCCGAGCTAAGCTGAATATTCTAGAGGAAATAATGTAGAGCGAGGTTTTATTTGATCAAGATTTGACTGGATCGTGGATGTTAGGCTGAGATATAATTCATTAAATCTAAAAAAAATGTCAGTTCACACAGGTGTGATTAAATCAGAGAAAGTTATTACATGATCTGTATTTTTTTTTTTTAAATCCTTTGAAATCATGTAAATGTGATTATTTGTGTAGTATAAGACTCAGATAATATATTAAGAAAGTAAATAGGATCTTTTTTTATTGATTTTTAGGTTCTAGACCCCAACAAGGATGAGGATGAAAGCGGTGTTATGGTGACTGATGAGAAGGAGAAAGAGAAAAAGAGAAAGCGTAAAGAGGAGGACAAGCAAGATGATGAGGAGGAGGTAAGACTGACCATCATGAATATTTATACTAGCAAATTGAATAATTTTGCATCTAATTCTGTACATTTCAAATGTTTCTCTTCTATCTTTTAAAATTTCATCAGGATGAAGAGGGTTCTGATTCCTCCTCTGATGATGATGATGATGAGGATGAAGCCATGGAGGAAGGAAAAGAGTTGGATCAGAAATTCCGTTTGGATTTGATGAAGGTTCTGCAGGGTCAGAACGCTCTGGTATGAACGAAGAAATAAATTTTCACTACATAAGCAAATGTAACCTAGAATGTTCCTTTCATTCCAGTGTGAAATGTGCAGGATCATTTGAGACTTACTTCCAGAAAACTTTGATAACGCAAAGTGGGAATCCGTAGCAGCTGATGTTCTGTTGTTCTTGTTTAGGCCACTGAAGAGGATGGCAGTGACGAAGAGGAACTGGATGATGCGGGCATGATGAAGCTGGACGGAAGCCTGGCTGCTCTCTTTCTGGAGCAGAAGAAAAAGATCCAGGCCAAAAAAGACGAGAAGGACAGACTCCGCAAAGAAAAGGTCCTCGTTCGGGACTTCAGGATTAAAGTATGGGGCTGTTTCTCTTTTATTTTTATCTAGTATTTTCTATAAGTTTTGAAGAGATGTAATGTTTTAAGTTAGTTGTAGTTGTTCTCATATTGAACAAATTATTTGATAAATAAATTGTTTATTTATTATTTCATTGTAAAGTATCAAATGAAGTAGAACATCCAGTGTGTGTGTTGTGTGTATATGTATTTAATCTTTTTATATTACTTTATAATATTTGATGTCATTACTTTTATTTTTTTATTTTTTAACATTAATATATGTGATGGTGCTAGATAAATTAGGGAGTTTGAGTTGTTCATCTAGTTAACTAGTTATTTTTAGACTTTTTTTTTTAAACTAGATTATTTACTTTTTTATTTGTTTATTATTTATTTAATATATTTTTTTCTATTTTAAAATCTTGTTGGTATATATTTTAATTATTTCTTCTAAATACATGGTGTGCTTTTTGACTGTTTGCACAGTAAAACTCTCCGTCGTAAACATGTCCGATTGCGGATAGGTGAATCTGAAACCTCCCTAATTATTCAGGGCTTCCTTAAAACTGATTAGTGACTAATGGATTTTGGAATAAAATAGGCAGGTTTTGTGTCTCAGAGGCTGATTTAAGTCATTTGGTGTGTTGTTGTCAGGTACTGGACATGGTGGAGATGTTCTTGAGCAAACAGGGGAGCAGCGCTCTGGTTCTTGGGATGGTGGAACCGCTGCTCAGCGTGATCGAGAACGGGATGAGCTCCGAAACCAGCCAACAGGAGCAGGACTTCCTGCGCAGGGCTGCAGACATCTTCAGGTGAGCAGTGCTATTTTACTGTTATTTGTGTACTTTTAAAGTATGTATTGAGATTTCTAATTAGCTTTTATATCTTTTAATATTTTAGTATAGCTCGTCAATTTTATTTTTAATAATTTTAGTACTAAAACATTTTAGTCTTTCATCTTAATTTTTTATTTTAAATACAGGAAACGTAAAATTTTTAGTTGGTAATAACAAAACACTGCAGCTGAGATTCAGCTCACAGAAAACATGCTGCGAATTTGACCTTTTTTTATGTAGAAAGACAGTTTTGTTTATTTAATCGCGTTTAATTCTCATAGTTTGTCGCTCGGTCTCTGATTGGCAGGAATCGACTCTGTCGTGCGAAGTATTACTGCAGGGAAACCGACGGACGAGAGGCGGAGCTTCATGAAATGCTTGAGCGTCTGATTGGTCGAGCCCAGAAGCTGACAGACTCGTCTGTGTCTCTGTACTACTTCAGGTGAGGACTTCTGCAATTATTAATCCCATGTTGCAGGAAAAAAGACAAAAAGATCTACCTGTAGTATACAAACTCTCGTGTATATGTTCATTGCGTGTCTACTTTTGGTGTGTTTGTTTCTTTAAATCACATTGTTATTGTTTTGTAGTGCTGCTCTCTATGTGGTGAAGGTGTTAAGAGGCATTGTGAGTGAACAGGACTCTGCAAACGCACCGTCAACACCGGCAGAGGTAAACTACCATCTTCAATAGAGACACTTGTTAATCTCGAAGTACTGAGGTTACTAAAGTAACTTGTTTGTTGATCACAGCTAAGGCTTATGGGTAAAGTGGATGTTGAGAGGGTCACGACTTGCTTCAGAAACGCGTTGACATCTTTCTTGACGAAGAGGAAAAGCCCTCTCACTGGAGCCATGTTCATCGACCTCTTCAGCAGATTCCCTGTGAGTCAAAACAACTTCAGTAGTGAATAATATCAGTACTATTTTTAAAGGTATTTTATTGAATGATTAGGGGAAAAAATCTAATTGAGTTTTTTTCTGATGGCAATTGCAATCTAAAATATTTTAAGTTATCCAGGTTTGTTGTGCTTGTTTGTATGGCTGATCTCCGCGCTGCTGAGTTTTGAATATATTGTAGTCTCTTAACAGAACTTGCTGGTAAACCCCCAAAGAGAGAATTGCAATAATCGAGCCGTGATGTGATGAAGGCATGAATAAGCCTCTCAGCATCAGGCCTAGAAAGAAAGGGTCTAATGCGAGCAATGTTACGAAGACTTTAGTTATGTTTTTGAAGTGAGAGTTAAAATAAAACATTTAAAAAAGCATCAAAAATCACACCCAAATTACGCACCTGAGCAGAAGGAGATATTTGGGTATTGTCAACTGAAAGTTAAAAATTACTGAACTTATTAACATTAGATGGAGTGCCAATTAATAAAATTTCAGTTTTAGAACAATTTAGTTTTAGAAAGTGTTTCATCCATGCCTTAATTTCCAGCAAACAGGCAGAAAGAGTTAAAAAGGAAGAAGTGGAATCAGGCTGAGTGCTAATATAAATCTGGGTATCGTCCACGTAACAATGATAGCCCAGGCCATACGTCTGAATAATCTGCCCAAGAGGCACCATGTAAATACTAAATAGAACAGGTCCCAAAACTGACCCCTGAGGGACACCCTGACACAAAGGCGCAGTCTGAGATCTATTAGTACCCAGGTAAACAAACTGAGAACGAGTATTAAGATGACTACAAAATAATAATAATAATGATTGTTAAATAAATTATTATTATTATTAAATAAAATATTAAACAAAATAAGAAATATTACTGTTGTAATAATAGTTTTAATGTTAAAATTAATTAATTGTATTTAATAACACTAACATTTAATAATTTTTCAGTACAACTGTAAAATTACAATACTAATATTTATTAGTTAATGTGCTTATTTTGTTTTCCAAAATGCACTTAATAAGCAACCCAGACTCACTTAGTTACAATAAATCACAGCTTTTATGATTTGGTAATAACATATTGCCATATTAATTTTATTTAGATTAAAGGCACAATATGTAAGATTTTTTAAATTAAAATATCCAAAAACCACTAGAGCAGTGTTATATATTTTGCTGACTTGTGTACTTACATTATCCCAAATGTTTCGAAGAATGTTTAAATCCAGAGAAATAAGCAATTTTAACTAGTGACACGGAGCGTGTCTATAGTGTCATTGTGTCGCCTGCCAATGACGTCATAACCCCTCGATTTCCGGTTTTGTTTTGTAGAAAACATGGAAACACCAAAGACGCTTTAATATGTTGTGCGTTTTATTAGACAGGTGACGAACGCACAGTAGCATTGTAACAGAACTTTCAAATGTATCTAATATGATAAAACAGCGCTGCTATTTTTTCCCCACATACGCACGACTGGAAGGAACGGAAGCGGTCGACTGTGGCATAATAAAAGCTCCGCTGCTTTCGAGCCGCGTGTCTCGCTAGTTCAGCGGCCTCGTTTCGCTTTGATGGCTTTCAGCCTCACCCTGCTTCATTCTACTACGTTAATAAATCATTAGCTCATTCATGAACATGATTTCTGCCCGAGTCCTGTCGGATTGCATCGGCTGTGGGGATGAAGACCACAACTCCCATGATTCCACACTCAGTCACCGCGTCATCAAACTATGCCTTTGCCTCTTTGTTTATTTTGAATACGCGCCCTCTAGCGGCGAAAATTACATATTGTGCCTTTAATCGTTCAGCTCTGTATAAAGGTAGACAGCTCAATGTTGGTGAGTTTTGATATGGCCAACATCACTATTACTATTGGGAATTAGATTAGTACTGGGAAAAGTATTAATAACGTTAATTAAACCTCAAATAAATGTCCTGATATTGTAGTGGTGAGTCACGCACTTAAAAATGCTCAAGGTTTCTTGAAAATGTAAAAATGTTGTCTCTATCTCATGAAAGCAGTTAATGGGCTGTAACTGATGGGTTTGTGTTGTGTTTGAAGGTGTTGTATGTGAACATGTTGGACACGGCTGTGGAGAACATCACTGCTGGAGTGAGGGAACATCAGCAGGTAAATGAAGCTGATCCATCGGTGTTATCGTGTCTTGGAGCAGCTCATGAATATTTTGGATGTGTAATCAGTTACTGTATACTTGAATTATAATGTACTGTCTTAAGTGTGTTTTTTTTTTTGTCCGGTTGTTTCAGGGTCAGGCATGTCTCATGGTGCTCAGGGCCCTGCAGTCTAAAGACGTGAAGAACCTGATGTCTGATGCCCAGGGAACTGAGCTGCATCAGAAAGTTGTGGACCAACTCACCAAGGTAGACTTTTCACCATTTAATGGTCAGCACTCTTGAAACGTCAGTATTTGGCATCAATTCCAGTGAAAATTATTTGCAAATATTGTTAATGTTGATACAAATTGATAGCTATTTTTTAGTAATGTAAAATAAGTTGGTTATTTAAACAATAATTAATACAGTATTTTTTTAAATAATTAATACATTACAATAATGGCTTGTAGTCTTCAAATATTTTTCAGTATTATGTTTACATTCACTTTACATTAATTTCTTGCCAATTTGATGGCATTCTGTGTTTAAAATATCAATGTAAAATAATACCCAAATATACATACAAACTAGTGAGGCGCTAGAGCTCTGTCAGCATATTGTCAGATCCGTTCACAATCAGGTAATGAATCGATGTTTTTACTAAACCTTCTGCTTTTACAAGGTATTCTCAAGTGTGAGTTTTTTTTGTTTTTTTTTTTAAACCTACGTTGTTTCTTTCTGAGCAGAAGATGCTGGTTAATCTGGAGCTCCTTCAGAAAGTTCTCAAGTCCATAAACGCTGAAGGAAGCCTGCAGAAACCAGGACAGCTGGAGGACATGTACTGGAGCGTGATGAAGTTATTTTACATTCTGTGAGTCACGTTACTCAAATCTGTTTTGATTATCATTTTAAATGTGTATGTGTGTATGCTTCACTACCATTCAGAAATTTGGGGAAAAGTCTCATGCTTACCAAGGCTGCATTTATTTGATATAAAATACAGTAAAAAAAAAAAAAAACAGTGTGAAATATTAGTGCAATTTTAACAAATAACTCTTTTCTATTTTATCGCGATTAATCGCATCCAAAATAAAAGTTTTTGTTTACATAATATATGTGTGCGTACTGTGTATATTTACTATGTATATATAAAGACACACACATGCATGTATATATTTAGAAAATATTTACATGTATTTACATGCATATATGTGTATTCATATAATTCATATTATTTATAAATATATTTAACATATAATCATAACTTAAATATATACATGCATGTGTGTGTATTTATATATACATAATAATATACACAGTACACACATATATTCTGTAAACAAAAACTTATTTTGAATGCGATTAATCGTGATTAATCGTTTGACAGCATTAATACAAACACAATATTAATATAATATAATGCATATCCGTTTTACAATCATGTATGCAATTTCAATTATTCATA